TCCTTTTAAATATGAAAAATCATAAGGTTAACATGGGAAACTCCAGAGCCACTGGGGCGGAGTCCGAAAGCCCGATCAGAATAAAAACTACTTAGTTTTTCTATTTAATGCCCAAAGAATCGGTGTACCGAATTTCAGCCTCCTAGGTAAATGGTGATGAGTGAGTGAGTGAGTGAGTCAGTCAGTCAGTGAGGGCTTTGCCTTTTATATATTTAAGAAGATTTATATATTAAGATTTATATTTTTGTGGGACCATGTATATGGGTTTCATGATGTTTTAAATTGTTCCCAGGTTGCACTGGTGATGTATACCATGACGATGAACGGCCGACAAAAAGTTAAATCTCGTTTGTTGTTTATAAACTGACTAGCTGTAACCGCGGGCTTTGCCCCTTTTAACTTTCATTAATTCTTTTTAAATATGAGTACTCATAAGGTTAACATGGGAAACTCCAGAGCCACTGGGGCGGAGCCCGAGAGTCCGATCAGAATAAAAACAGCTTAGTTTTCCTTTTTAATGCCTAAAGAATCAGTGTACCAAATTTCAGCCTCCTAGGTAAATGGGAAGTAAGAGAATTAGTGATGAGTGAGTGAGTGAGTGAGTGAGTGAGTGAGTGAGTCAGTGAGGGCTTTGCCTTATATATATATAGATTATTAATTGTATTTGTAAATCATCACTCACAGTACTTTTGTATTTGAGAAAATATAGAATGTAGATTTGATTATTCAGCTGAGTTTAATAAAAAAGTGTAGTTCATTAGTTGAGACTAGTAAATTGTATTTGAGAAAGTAATGTAGAATATTGAGAAAGATTTAGTTTCATTTTAGAAAGGGGTCTTTTGGCATTTAATTATTGTATATTTAAAAAACCCTTCCTTATAGAGCTAAGCTAAAATTTGATTTTCTCATTACTATTAAATCACAAGTTCTCAAATACAACCTTTTCTTAAATACGTATAATTCACTGGTCTTAAATTATGACTTCTCATAAGATTGGAAAATGTTGTTAAATATTAGATTAAATAAATTTGTTGTTCCTATTGTTTTTAGCGGATATCCTGTATAGGGAATAAGCTATTACCGTAGGGCTCATAGTAAGATATTCAATTCATTTTCTCATCAATTTATTTGATTTGTTACTCATAAATAATTACTCTAAACTCTCTGGTTTTCGAAAAAATAGGTTAGAGAGTATGGGGTTAATTTTACCAAATATTCCTTTAAGTTATTCTTGCATTTACTTAAGTTTTGTTCACCAATAAATGACCTTCGTAAATGAAACAAAAATTGTGTTTCCATATATTTCGTTTTCTTTTTGAAAAACTCTAAATTGTGTGGTTCGATCGGTCTATTTAATCTAGTGTTGTAGGCCTACGGATGAACATTGTTTACAAATTGTGATTTTTTAGTTGTTTCACATACATTACAGTCTCTAAAATGTAAAGAGCATAAACCGTTACGATTTTTGTAGAAATAAATAAAGGTTTAACAGATTTACCCATTTTTAACTTAAACATAATTCTTAAAGCATTTTTTTGTTTCCGCAAGATTTTATCTAAATTTGTCTGAGTTGTTGCTCCGTAAATGCTCATTCCGTAGGACAGGTGAAAATGAATTAAAGAATAATAAACAGTGTTTAATGTTTCTAATTTACAAAATTTAGCCATTTATCTTGTCTCAAGGCAGACAAACCTGTTGACATTTTGTTAACAACATGTTTTGTATGATCGTCCCAGCTCAGATTAGCGTCAATGAAAAGTCCCAGAAATGTTGTCCTAAAAGACATCCTAAAAGACTTCCTACTTTGTAATTAATAACAAAACAATCTGTTTCCAAGCTAAACCGTGACTAAATGAAGCGCTTCGCGGTTAGTAAAAAGTTTTCGGCGACCCACACTAATCCTTTGATACAAACTACTACGTCCTGTCCTTCTCTTCAACCTTCCCGCTAACACGGGTTAGCTATCTGCTCTGCCATGAGTTTTAAACCGGTTGTTAGACTCTTTTGTATAAATCCTAAGACTTTTTACTTTGCACTTTACTACCATAACAATCTGTTTACAAGCTACACCGTGAACTGCCAAAACAATTATTATTTAGATGAACCCAACAATTAATTAGTACCCCACTATTTGTTATTGCCAGGCTTAGGTAAATTTATTCTCTACCTGCTTACTTGTTATACTTGTAATATTTGATTTTTGCATCTTTGGCCAACGAAAGTTGGATAGATTGAGTTATACAACACTAGGCCTAATACTTTAAAAATCTCTTTAAACATACTTATTTTTGCTCTTGCTTAAGTTATTATCTTTATTCAGCACCAATAGAACCAGCTTTGTTCCTCAAGATTTATACTGCGCCTTGCGGTCAGTAAAGATCCAAACAGTAAAATGAAAAAAAAAACTAAGAAGATAAAACTTAAACATTTTGTACATTTCTTAAATTTATTGTTGGTTTGAATTTGTTTCACAGATGAAGTAATAATTTTCTTTAATTATTTATGTCAATGGATAATTCTTTTTCAATGATGACCCAATTGGGTCTGACGATGATTGGAGTTTCCAATCGAAATCTATTAAGACTTATCTACTTTTGTTATGTATATTTACAGTCTCGTGAGTAAACATGAGTGTGAATTTATTTTTTAAGTCTAACAGTCGTACTTTCTTTTATTTATGTTTAATTAAATTAGTGCAATAAGGCGTATATCCAAAAGTTATCATGATTAAATAAAAATTAAAAAACTATATTCCTGTCCCTATACATGCAGGCAAGCCTATTTACTTGATACAGGCAGATTATGCAAATATTATTTCTTAACATATTGTAGATGTGTCCATCAGGCTGTGTTTTTTTTTCGTAAATTGGCAGTACTGTATTACAAATCATTTTTAGAGACTGTGAACTGTGAATCTTGGTAAAGTTCTGTTCTCTAATATTTGTTGTTTTTATGTTATCTTAATAATGAGTCAGCATAATAGTTATTTATTGGTTTGCGTTGGACAATAAGCGGGCGGGGCTGTGCGGTTGCTGTAAAGAAGCCTGCATGCGCTCTCTTTGCTGACGCCCCACACTACATCAGTTTGTTCAGCTCGTTTATATCTCTTTGAAAATAGTTTTTAGAAGATAACTTTAGTACAAAGGTTGTACATAAACGAATTATAAATAATACAATCAAATTTAAATACGATGGCATACGTAGAACTTGAATTACATCCAATAAAGTTAACGTCTACGATTTCCAGGTTTGGAGAGGGCGGGGGAAGGTTTAAGGCGGAGAATAGGCAACTTTTCGAAAATACACGTCTTGAGTGGTTCTATCACATACAGCAAATCCAGCTTTCCACGATTTCAGCTATATTTAGCTACGAAAAAAGGCAGTTTTGTGCGTTCATTGACAGGGCATAGACGCGACGACGCAGCGCAGAGGTGTTCAACTAGCGCGCACGCGCTCTTTTTGCCGACACCCAGCACTTAACCCGCTAACCTAGATTACTAACCAATATCATGTTTGTACACCTTAAAAACGTACTAAAACTTTTGTTTGAAGCATATTTCTAAATTATTTATATTTAAAAAAGTCTATTAAGAAAAACAAAATTGCGTACTCTGAAATAAAGCGTTTAACGAAGTTTAAATTTTATATCTCCCTAAGTACTAGTTTTAGAAAAATATTGTAAATATAAAAGTTGTAAGTAAATTAACTAGAAATAAAAAAACACAAATTGCAACACTCTAGCTTACATCTGACTCTACCTATGATCAGTTAAGTGAAACAATGCAATTTCTAGGTTTTGAGGTGGGTGGGGGGGAAGCTGAAGGGATAGAAATGGGGACTTTTGGAAAAATACACCTCTCACAAGGTTCTAACCAGCTTTCCACCATTTAGTTGCGATAAAAAACATTTATTTAGGAGGTCACGAATTGTGGATATTTATAGGGATGCAATGTGGATGCGAGGCTCCCCCTGGTGTGGATTAACGTCCGCGCTAGTGAGTACTACGACTATCCGCATTAGTACTATCCAAATAATTAGACCAATTCGTTAATTACGAGGAAACATGTGGTTCGGATTCCACAATAAACTATGTAGGTCCCTTAGTTGCTATTAATGCTGTATGGGCTATTAATTATCAGTTGTGTCTAAGGAACATGTCGGCCTTAGTCACTAACAAGACTACAAGATCGTTCCACTCATCCTACACTCATATTTGGGTTAAAATACGCACATAGTGGCGTGTCCCCATGTTAAATAATTGATAATTCACACAAACCATCCTTGAATAATGCCTAATAATGCCTGAAACTTCCATTACAATCTGTCGAGCGGTTTCGGAGTTCATAACGTTGAAATATATATATATATATATACATATACTCATATATACAAACTTCCTCTTTTATAAATACAGATTTATTTAAAATTGATGGCATTATTTTCCACATTTTAAGACGTTGTTCAAATAAAGCCGTAATAGTTATTCAAACAATTTTATAGTCCCAAAATTAGTTTTTTACGTTTCAAATGTGAGTATTTCTGTGTTATTTTGTCTTAAAAAACGTACACTAGTCTTTAAAAGGAGACCATGATTTATTTATTTATTCCAACGGGAAACCGGGAAACCCATTACATTTAAATCCATTACAATGTTACATAATCAATGCCCTACAATTGGTTTTCACTTTTGCGCCTTAACATCTGCAGTTGTTTAATTCTATGGAAACTCAAATCCCAAAATAAATTATATGTCGTCTGCACTTAGATAAACGATAAATAGATTATGGTCGTCTGCAATGAGTGGGCCACTGGGCCAGTCCAGTCAGTCAGGCTGTCAGGCAGTCAGACTAGTCAGTCAGCAGAGTCTAGTGATGTTAGATACCGTGATTTAAAAATATCGGTGACTTCGTTCCAGTGACAAAGAAATATCGGTGACTGAAATATCGGTGAGTCTTTTGGTTTTTTTGTCAACCACAGAGTGTGACAGTCAGTCAGTCAGTGACTTGACTACTTGACTACTAACTGACTGAGTGAAGACAGTTAATGACTAACTAACTAGTGTAGTGCTAAGTGCTAGTATGTTTTATCTATGGTGCTAGCTAGTCTGCTAGTATATTATAGTGAGCGAGAGCGAGAGACCAAGACCAAAACCAGGCCAGAGCCCAGAAGCACTGCAGAGCAGAAGTACCGAAGTCTGATTGTCTAGTGATTGATGATAGGCCACAGATAATATAACCCCTACTAGGGGTATACATTATACACACGGTTTATACATATTATATATTATACGGTCTTTTAGGGGTCATATTATCTGTGGTTAGGCCTATAGGGGAAGGGATAGGGAGTAGGCCTATAGATACTGTAGTCTGTAGTCAAATAACGACTACAATAGTAAATTTGGCCTTATATTAACTTAAGTAACTTATAAAGGAGTTGAAAATAGTTTCGGTGCGAATTAAATAATGGTTAAGTGCCAATAGGGGTACAGTTTCTTAACTGGGCTATGCTAATATCGATTGAAACTATAGATTCGATTAGTAAACCTTCATGCGATTTTTTCACCATCAGCAAGTTTGGTTGGTTAGGTTAGGTTAAGATAGTTTAATTTGATAATAAATATAAATATTGATTATTAATCAATATTTTCAATTCGATAGTTTCAATCAATATTAGCATAGCCCAGTTAAGAAACTGTACCCGCCAATAGTCCTAAATGCTGACAGTAACCTGCTCAGTGGAAAAGATAACGTTTTACCTTTTATTTGGTGTAGGCCTACAGCGATATATTTTTATCTAGGCTATTGCATTTTTCTTATTTCCCAGACCGTTAAGGCCTGAGGTGCTCTTTGTAGCTCGTGGGAAATATTTGTATTTTAATTTTCTTAAAATTCCAGACACTAGCCTACATCTTGATGCTAATGTTCAACAATGACGGTAAGTTTTATGTTTGGACTTGATAATCTACATTAGTTAGTAGCCTAGCCTAATTTTAGGTAACTTATTTAACTTTATTGGTGTTAAAAACGTTATAACAATTAATTTTATGATGGGATATTACAACAAATTCAATGCATTTGGCAAAATAACCACTTATTAACCCTTAGAGTGCCAGGCGAGAAATAAAAGTAACGCTCAAAAAATGCCGATGATTTTTCCCGAAGGTCGCGCTAAAAATGCCGAGCGCGATCTGGCGATTTTTAGGTTAAAATTTCGTAAAAATCGAATTTTCGATATTTCGACCAACGAAAATCGATGTATCGCATCTAGCAACTTTCGACTCAATGTTAATATATGGGTTAAAAGAATCCGAGTATTTATTCGGTTGTTATGACAGCTGTTCGATCATTACGAAACGTCCGGTCAGCCGGACGTTGGCACTTTTGGCTCGTTCTAAAAACGTCCGGTCGGCCGGACGTTGGCACTTTTGGCTCGTTTTAAAAACGTCCGGTTCCCCGGACGTTGGCACTCAAAGGGTTAAGATTTAGGCTAGATATTTACTTGAAACTTGCAACGAAGGTATATCCACATGTATTCTAAACGTATGTAAAATTTGGTAACAATTAAGTAAATAAACGGTATCAGCATTCTGACACATACTTTCTCCCATAAGTTTGTCAACCACCTTTATCATATTGTGTAAGCGGTGAGAGTAAATATACGGAATTGGGATTAGTATAATCTTGTTAAGAATTTAAAGGACTACATACAAAATTTTTATCAAAATCGTTTTGGGCCAGTTTTGTGAAAATCCGATTTTTCCGTTATTTTATGGGGTTTTTTATGGGAAAATAACATAATTTACCATAACTTTTGAACCGTAATTTTTAGAGAAATGGAATTTGTACCATTTTCTTTAGAATAGGTATAAAGGACTATAACATACCAAATGTTTATCAAAATCGTTTAGGCCGTTTTTGGGAAAATCCTATTTTTCCGTTATTTTATGGGGTTTTATGGGAAAATTTCCATAAAAAAATATTTTTTTTTTAAATAAAAAAAACTATCAAAACTTTAAGGACCATAACATACTATGTTAAATTAAAACCGGATTTTTTTTCTAAAATCCTATTTTCGTTATTTTACGGGGTTTTAATGGGAAAATAACATAATTTACCATAACTTTTGAACCGTAATTTTTAGAGAAATGGAATTTGTACCATTTTGTTCAGAATTTAAAGGGCTACAACATACTAAATTTTTATCAAAATCGTTCGGGCCATTTTTGAGAAAATTCGATTTTTCCGGTTTTTTATGGGGTTTTATGGGAAAATCCCAATTAAAAATCAAAATTTCAAAAAAATGAAAAAAGCCTGGAGATACCATGGATTAGAACCTACATACCAAATTTCATCGAAATCGGACCACAGGTGTAGTCCCTAGCTCTGTACACATCCAGACACACAGACACACACACACACACACACACACACACAGACTTCACTTCGAAAACCACTTTTTTGGGTCCAGGGGGACCCAAAACGAATATATCCACTCAAAACTCAAACTCGAAAATTTTGACGAAAACAATACTTTCTCCATATACTATGGTAGGGTATAGGGGGAGAAAGTAAAAATATTTAAACTAGGCCTATTTTATTAACAAAATACCCCCGCCGCAGCAAACCTGCAGACTAAGCGAATTTCAACTTGTCTGATTACATTTTTACTAAAATATTTCCATAAATAAGATACTTACCTACTTACTTACTTGATAAGTTACTTGAAGATTTCCCACTGGAAGCGTCCCTGCGCGTTGGTTGTCAAAAATATTGGCCTTTTCATTCATCCTCAAAGTACTCTCAGTGAGAAGTATGGCCTCATCAATAAGTAAGTTAATCCTTGAGTAGGCCTAGAATCTTGAATTTTTCCATTTCTTTAATATTTTTGATTTCTTTGGGATCTTGTTATAAATCTTGGAGCACATAAATTTAGGGCCATTTGCTACTAAAGTGGAGTTTACCTGGGTTAGGTGGACATTTTTACATTGCCTTGTGTTGTAATTGTGGAATGCTGCATTTTTTAGGAGAGAGAGAGAGAGAGAGAGAGAGAGAGACTTTATTACATGAGCGTTAAGCTCAGCAATGGTGTCAAAAATTACAATAAAAACAATAAACATTGACAAAAGTCAAAGTCTCTTCCACAGAGTGCAATGAACTCGTCGATCGTATAGACAGGGTTCTCAATCATCCAGCATCCTCTTCTTAAGGGACATGGAGTTTCCATTCTTAATGGTCGAAGGAAGGAGATTAAAAAGCTTGGCCCCGGCATATGATGGCTTCCTGGAGTATCTTGAAGTGTCATGTGCAGGTAAGTTGTAGTTTCCAGCATTTCTTGTGTAGTGTGGATGTACATCAGCGTTCCTGAGGAGGTTATTTTGACTGCTTGCATACACAACTACTTCACATATATATATAGTGGCAACAGTTGGAATCTTGAGTGCCTTGAAGGTGTTCCTGCAGCTTTCTCTCCACTGAAGATCTCCGAGAACTCTAATGGCTTTTTTCTGCCAGGTGAGAACCCGACTCATATTCTCTTTAGATGAATTCCCCCATAGAACAATTCCATATCTTATATGGGACTCGACCAAAGCGTGGTAGGCTGAACGAGTAGCTTCAGGTGTAGCGACATGGTTGATCCGCCTTAGAGCAAACAGGGAAGAACTGAGTTTGTGACAGAGGAAATCCACATGCATATCCCATCGCAAGTTGTCGTCTAGGATTACGCCAAGGTATTTGGTGAACAGAACTGTTTCAATTTCTGGAGGAGATGACACTTCATTCTTTAACCTTCCAAAGATAAGTTGTTGTGTTTTGCTCTCGTTAAAAACAAGATCATTGTTGAAACAGTAATCCCTGGCTCTATTGATTGAAATGAAATTTTCAATCTCCAAAGTTTTGGCAGATGAGTTGCTGGTTAACGGTACTGAGTCGTCAGCAAACATTACAGTATGACTGTGTGCCTCCATGTAGTTCGGAAGATCTGCAGCGAACAATGTGAAAATTATGGGACCCAGTACTGAACCTTGAGGGACTCCTCTGGCAACATTTATCAGCTTTGATCTGAAAGAGACGGTTTTGCCATTTTTCGTGGAACTGATTTCAACGACCTGGTGCCTTCCTTTCAGGTAGGACTGAAACCAGTCCTTAGCCGAGTCTCTAATCCCATAGGCTTCAAGTTTCTTGAGGATAAGCTGGTGGTCGAGGCCATCAAACGCCTTACTCAGGTCTAGAAAAGCTCCACTAACAGTCCTTCCGGTTTCCAGATTGTCAATGATGTACTCGACGATCTCGGTGATTGCCGTTATGGTAGATCTTCCAGGTTTAAAGCCATGTTGTCCTTTGGGCAGGATTTCGTTGGACTTAAGATGATGCATAAGTCGTGCCAGGACTATTTTTTCTAAAACCTTAGAGATTGTCGAGACAAGCGATATTGGTCTATAATTGCTTATATCTTCCTTGCAGCCTTATATACTTTTGCTATTTTCAGCTTGGGTGGAACAGTGGACTGAAATAAGGATTTGTTATTATGAATGTGAGAGGCAGACAGAGTTCTTCAATACAGGACTTTAAGAGTCTGGAGGATATGTCATCAACTCCAGTCGAGGATGACGACTTAAGAGAAGTTACTGTTGCTAGCACTTCTTCATTAGTGGCTGGATAAAGAAAGGTCATGTTATGTTCTAGGCCAAGGGGCTGAAGCACAGGGATGGTTCTTGAGAGGCTATCATCACTGTTGGCGTTTAATGTGTCCTCCGCAACAGTGGTGAAGTATCTGTTGAAACAATCTGCTATGGTTGTAGGGTTATCTATGGTTTCACCCTCGCTTATTATTTTCCAGACCACATCCTTCCTCTACTCACTAGCCTTTCTCTCGGAATTGACAATGTTCCAAATCCCCTTAATTCGGTTGCTGGATTGGGAAATCGACAGAGCATTGGTCTAACGCCTGATAGTTTTCAGCGCTAGGTCGTACACTTTTTTCTTTTGCGCAGCATCAAGCTTGTCATCATCTCTTCCAGTCAGTGTATATCTTTCCTGGGCTATTCGAAAATCATCTTTTAGTCCAAGTACGTCTTGGTTATAATGAATCATGTTCTGCCCTGACCGGCGGGGCCGTACAGTCTTGTAAGGACATGCTTTATTCAGTGCAAGAGTAAACAGGCTCATGAACACTGACAATGCTTT